ACAAAGTTTTTGATAACGTTTTGTACCCTACTGTATTCTACAGGGATAATATTGAACATACAGAAAAATATAAGAAATTATTTCAGATATTATGATCAATTAGGTAACATGTTCATGTTTAACTGAAAAGTAGCTTCTGTAATGTAAACTTTCAAATTATATGTTATACTGGACATGACACAATGTATTCTTAATAATCAAAAGCAACAGAACATTGCTAAACACCGCAAATGATCTGGGTTTTTTTTTATCTAGCGCAAATGATTATTCCATAAAATAGAAATATATTGCCAAAATTATCCCTGTTGAAAAGATTGCCAAAAATAAAACTGCGTCGTATCATATTTTATTTTCAACTGCGTCGTATCATTTCGTAAAAATCGTTATTTTCTTATAAAAAAACATCTCTTTTTAATGAAATTTTTGTAAATGATGCAAAATTATATTTCAAAGTTTATGGTGAACTCGGAAACAAATATATAATTGATTTGAAGGAAAAAACAATAGGTAAATCAATATAAACTGCGTCGTATCCACACATTTTCATAAAAATTCTGCCCCGCTTCGAGTTGCAAGTTCGCTATAACTTTTGTTTTACAAAATAGTTGTGCGAGCAACATATACCGAACGAAGCGGAAAATAGGGTAGCGTGTTAATACAATTATCTGGTTTTCAGTCATTTCCAACAAAAAGAGTTATAAACAAAAACATACGTTTTTCACTCCAAGATGGCGGCGTTTGTTTACATTTTGTAGGATACGACGCAGTTTTGATTCCCAGCCCTGTACTCGTGTCATATGTTATTTAGCAGATAATAAGTAATTGAAACCATTTTTACGAGGTAACGTCGACTTCGTGAATGGAGCACTGAAGCAACGGAGGTTATCTCATTTAAAGTCGCCAAAGCTTCTTTCTATTGTAATACGACACTTGTAGTTTGATAGATGTCTTAGCTATACAGAATATGAAAAAAATAAAGTTAAATGTTTTAAATGTACATATTTATTTGACGAAACACAAAACTAACATTTAAAACAGTAATCTGGTTGCCTTTCTCACGAATGATCTATAAAAGTAAACATAGTACTAACCAAAATTGTAATGCTGGTTAAAGTATACTGTCGTAGCAGCCGTATGCGCTTATTCATTTCTTTAAATTTGATTAAAAATAAAAAATGGTTCATTTACTTACTGTGTTATTCGTTTTTGCGAATTATACTTTATATAATCAATATTATTTGATAGTGTTTTTGTTTTGAAGAAACATTTTAGATTTCATGCATTAATTAGACACGAAGTCTTGACGCAACAAGTTTTAGTAAACATAATGAAAAACCGATACAATTTTTTTTTCAAATCAAGGCAATTTCAGACTACCTTTCTTATCAGGGGAAGCGTATTCCAATGAAATATTAAAATAATACGGGAATGATTTCTGATTTCAGTCTTTTAATTATGAATGAAGTAAATGCTAGTGACATCTGTTGTATTTCATTTAAGTAGTAGACTTAGCGACATGTACAACTGTTATATTAGGCAGAAATGAATTTTGCTTGAAGTTGTGAAGATATTTTATAACGCATGAATTTTTCAAAACGAGATTTTCTCCATTTGGTTGCATTTGGAACCCCTCGGTTTTTATAAGCCATCTAAATGTTACAGCTTTCGCTGTCGAGTACGGACTATTACTAGACTGAACGGGAGATTATCCGAAATGAATGAACAAAAAAGAAAAACAATCCTTTATACAATATTGTTAAAAATAGCGACTGCGCTGTAACATTTACAAGAAACAAAGTTTTTGATAACGTTTTGTACCCTACTGTATTCTGCATATCATAGCCGCAAAGAAATCACAATATCAGTAGTTTAATTTCCCTTCTATGTTACGATTGCAATTGTAACTTACAATACAACGGTAATTTGATATTCTACACACAATAAGTTTTGTAATACAAGGGAAGCAACCTTTACATCCTTATTTTATTTTTACATGAGTTATCTGCTCACAATTATCAATGTACTGGTAAGCAGGAACCCTTTTGTAAAATAATTATAGAATATTGATTACATTTGGAATTTCATTTCATATTCCCTTTGTTTTGTGATGAAGAAAGACCTCAGGTACTCCATTATTTCAGGCACGTCCGGACGTTGATGTCACCAATCAACAATTATGCTTGGTCCAGGGGAAAGCAGAATAAACCATAAAAATTGCAGTACACAATGATATTATCTAAACAATGTATTTGGTATTCTTTTTTACAGGTGAAAATAAAGCTGCTGTTTTTATTAAAATTCAATGAATGTACATTATATCTTATTATCTAAAATTATATTAAAAGTATTCTCAATTTTTCAACCAATATCTGTTTACATACGAACAGTGGCTTCCTAGGGGCTTGGTTCACTAACGGCCAAATTTTGACCCTGTCTCAGAATAAGTATAAACAGATATACACCTCAAGATAAGTTAAGCACACCAGGCATTTTGACTCAATTTTGACAATTGAAATTTTAAATTTATTTGAGCAATGGTACGAACCATATGAAGTCAATCTGCAACAACTGGAACAAGCTCTGCACCAAGAATGGTAAAATCTACCTCAACGTCACATTACTGGTAGTATGAGGAGAAGGGTTGAGGCTGTCATCCGGGCACGTGGCAGTTACACACGTTATTAAAAATTTGGCAACATAATGCCATTCAAGGTTACGTTATTGTCAACATTTACCAAAAATATTCACCAGTAAATGTTTTGTAAACGCTCCAACACCTTATAAACATTTATATGTTTGGTAAAAATCAAGCCATTTGTTATGCTTCTATAATTTGGTTAAGAATAAACTAAACTCACAAATTTACTGGTTAATAATTAACAATTTTGTACTAAACAAATTACTATTAATTTTCTTAGTTTAATTAAGTCGTCATCTCATGACAGTGCTTTCAATCACAACAAAATTTTAATTTCCGAGGTGTGTATAACATATTTCCAGGTGTATATATGTATGAGAGCACTGTGTCCAACATTGTAAAACATCTTAGCGTTCCCATGGTAACAATTTTCTCATCGTGAAAAACATATACAACACTATTACTTGAATAAATTTTTACATGTATTTACGAATTGTGTACATTTTCAGTCCTTCAACGCCAAATAATAAAAAAGGAACCAACTGATGAATCAGATAATAAGTAAAACAGACAAACAATCCGATCACGTCTACATGTACCACAGACATCAAAAATCTATCAAATGGTATATATATCATGATTATACAAAAAAGTGAAGTTAAAACAACTAAATCATTAACTACCTCTAACTGTTCATGGGAGTAACTCTTCCTCTTTTTTAAATATTACAACTTTTGTTTTTAAAATATTCTCAAGTTATCAATACATTTTACAGCATATTTAGTATGGCTGTACATTTTTTATTAAAAGTCAAACTTGCACCATAGAACCCGCAAAATGTTAAGTAATTATATAAAGTTGAAAACTTGACAAACCACAATTCAACTTTTTTTACTGGTTAAAAAATGTTTTTAAGTTTTCTAAGAAAACCGTAAGTATTGACGAAGAGTTATGTCGACCTTTCGTGCACAAAAATGCTTTGTTGATTGGAGAATATGGTAAAGTTTGATTAACGGTATGTTTATGCAAGAAATACAAGAATACAAGAATGTGTGATCAAACTGCGGAGAAAACGATCAAGACACCTGGTATAGGTAATCTAATTTTTTAAAGTTTCTGAGTGAAATATGAGACAATATTTAACTTATGTTTACGATTTGGTTTGTAAAGCGATAAAAGCTTAATTCAGTTTTACAAAAATTGTTCTGCATCGATAGAATAAAATATTAAATTCATTGAATGCTTTTAAAAAAAAAAACCTTTTATCAATAAATATACATAGTACTGAGAACTGTTTAAATAGATAAAGAAAAATAATCCAAAAAATTCAGGTATGTTTAAATATAAAAAGGACACACTGCCAAAAAAGGAAAAGAAAATAAATTTGGGAATTGATCATAGTTTACGAGAGATAAAACTTGAAATAAATAAAATCATACTGCTCATAAAATTGTATATCAGCTTATCAGAACCTGCTGAACCTTGCATCTAAAGCGTCTTTCACCGTTCACATGAACATTCTCTAAGAACGTTTTTAGTTTTTTTCCTTCAGTTTCCTTTTTTTGTAAATTTATACTTTTCGGGTAGCACAAAGTTGTCACCAAAAACTGGGCATTAACTTTGGGCGATGTTCACAAAATTAAACGGTATTTAAATTTTTTACTGTTTACTTCCCTGACCCGTTTAAAAAGGGGTTTGATTTCGGCGGCAAAACATTTTCAATTTTGGGCCCAAACTTTTGAAAAAGCCCAGTGTTTTTTGTTATTTTAAAACACTTTTTTCCCTCGATCCCCCGATTATGACAATAAAAAAGCCAAATTCCCAAAATTATTTTTTTTCGTCAATTCCAAGCTTTTCACGTTAAGAAAATATTGATTTTATTTTTAAAAAGTTTCAGTTTTGAATGGGTTTTCTTTCTGACGAAACATTTTTAAGTTTTTTAAAATTTTTTTCAAAACGATAGGGAAGGTACCAAAAATTTTATTGTTTTTTAAAACAAAAAATTTTTTAAAATTTTTTAAACTTTATCTTTTTTTTTCTCCAGGGTTTTTGCAGTGACATTTGGGAATTTCTTTCAGGTGGTTGTTTTTTTCCCAATTTTCTTGGGCGTCGTTTCCCCTTCGTAAATTTTTTGTTTTATATTTCATAATGGTATTGCTAAATTTCTAACATCCCTGAGCAGTTTCGGGTTTTTCCCGGAAATTTCCTCGTAGAAATGATTTGTGTCTGCCTGGAATTCATTTTGTTATTTTTTTTTAAAATTTTGTTTTTCTTTAAACTTTTTTTTAAAATTTTCCCGTCTGCTTGAGTTTTATTTTACCCTCTGACGCCATATAAATTTTGAATCTGAGTTCATATACCTCTAGGATTTTCTTACTAAATGAATTATTTTCAAATTGGGATATAATAATAACAACTTTGCTGCATCTTTCATCTTTAAACGTATAAATTTTATAATCCTCAACGGCGCTTTCTTACACATACTTGTTGCTTCATCGAAACATCTTCGCAAATTAGGCGTTTGTTTCTTCTTTTCTTCTTTCGTGCAATTTGTAAACGCTCCCATGATTTTTGTATGCTGTGCATGATGGGGATTTGACAACGTATGTATATTTAAAGATGTTAGTTTACAATTTAGCCAGCTATTAATTTCGTCCAGTATAATACTTTGTTTATCCTCAAGCAACACGTTTCTGCAAAAGAAAAAAATGTAATGTTGAGCCAACTAAAATTAAAGATCGATCCTGTAAGTTAACGAAGTAAAATGGAACACTAACATATTAAATAAGTATACATTAAAAATTACATAGAGGATATTCGAGTTTTTTCCTATTATTACAGATTTATTTTCATCCAGTGGTATAAAAATAAATATTTAAAAAGTGGCGGTAGCCACGAGTGAAATATGATAATTTTTTATACCACAAGATGAAGATAAATCCTGTATTTATAGAAAAAACTTGAATTTCCTGTTTATTATATAGTACATGTTTTCTTTTTTGACATTACTCTTTGAAAGACTTCTCCTAAAATTGTGTGTATTGGCTGAATTTAGAAAAAAAAGTATTCCGGCAAGACCCCAATGAAAATACGGAACATATATGTTTTACTGCAGTGAAAAATATTTTTTTAAAATGAAAATACGAATCAATATTTCTCAATATTTCATTAATAAGTAGACAATAAACATTTACATCGTTTCTATTTAAGATGAAATTAAATTTCAAAGATATGATCAATAAGGACACACAATCATGAAAACTACGAAAGTACAATAATTTTAATTCATACAAAACAGTTGTGTAATTACAATATTACAAATCTATAGTTACGTAATAGATCAAATACCAGTACTAATGATTTTTTTTTTCTTTCAGCCTCATAAAATCAAGGTTGTGTTAAATTCCAAATAAATACACCCTTAAATATACAGTATATGTTTTGACAGAAGTTATTAAACGTTGTACGATACTAAAACTAGAAGACGAGCATACAACTGTCAAATCTATACTGGTCGGTGTTCAAACTGTGTGTTTCAAAGGTTTTGAGTTTAATAAACCACTATCTTATACAACACTATATAGTGACCTCTTTATTTCACATCGCCTTTTTTTTACATTTTGACAGAGCTCTGTTAATTTGAGTGTCAAAGGAATGGAATCTGAATGTATTATTTCTGAAAATAAAAGAGGCCTGACGGAGAACAAAAGTGTTTTAACATATTTCTCTAGACTTCAAAAAATATACTAGAATATAAAAATAAAGTGAAAATAATGTTAGATAGTGTGCAATATGGACTTTAATTTGGATATGAAAACGAGGCTAAACTTATAACCTTTTTGTAAACCAATAACAATTTATGATTTGAGGCAAAATGGTACAAATGCCGAAAGTTCATTTAATAAATTACATAAAGTTTAAAGTAAGTATGAACATTAATCTTTTAGAGGTGATTAAAATGTATTTTGCATATTAAAGTCATACTTAAGATAACAAGTCAATTTAACCAGTAAATACCTTTGTGTCCCATTGGCAAACTTTAATGTTCCTCGCTGCATTTTGTTGCGTGCCATACTATTAAAGAAACCTACAATAAGCCTAATTGGCTCAAAGACATAGAATGTTCCTGGAAAACTCTGGAAGATAGCACCAGTTAGAGTAGAACCAGTTCTCATATATGCTATAATTAAAATGATTTTAGCCTTGCTGACAACATTATCACCAATTGACGCCGTTATTTTATCAAGAAAAGATTCCCTCAGAGTCACGTTTACATCTTTGGGTTCCTGTGGTTTGATTCCATTTCCCTCCCTATTGTCACTCGAGGCAGCATAACTGCCTTTGGTATCAGTATGGAATGTACGATGTTTTGGACCTGCTCTTGATGCAACTTCTACAGGAGGCGGTATTGTATCTGTTGTACCTGGAATGTTTTATGTTATATTGTTATCAAGATTTGAAAATGAAACAGTTGATTTATTGTCCCTACTATCTTATTTATGTTTATTCATGAATAAACAGCTAGCGTGAAAAGAGAAAGCGTTATACACCTATCTCTATACCAGTACACACAAACATAACAAGTGTACCAACAATTATCCTTTTCTTTTAGTTGAATACGTTACAGATTAAGAAGAAACCACAAGACATACATGTATAGATGGAGACAGCCTTTATCCAATTAAACCCATAGACATAGAAGTTAGTTGAACAGTTAATGGACTCAATTCAAAAACGTTTATATTTATTTTTCATATTATGATAAAGTATTTTAACATCATCCTTATATAACCATTTACATGTTTGAAAATTTCGTCTTTGGCAGCAATTTAGTCACCGTTAAGATCTTGGAAGAGATAACCGAGTGGTAAATGTGTCTGCCTATCAACCCAATAATCCCAAATCCTACTTGGACAACGAAGTTTCCTTATTTTCCTATAACATTAATACATTTTGTACTGGTAAAATATCTGGAAACGGACACAAACGTGATTAATAGTTAGTTGATAGAAATTGTTTTAAAATTGAGCTTAAAATATTGTTAAGCTTTTAAAAATATAGATATTCACTCACATGACTTATTTTTATGGACTAAAGTATCTATCCCAATAAGATGTGGTCTTGTAATGATTTTTTCTCATTTTTGTTTTCATTTTGATTTGATATTAATTGAAAGAGCGCTAGCAAAATTACTATTTATTTTGATGAATATTGTTTAAATATTGATTCCATAATTCAATCACATATAATTAGTTGTAGACATTAGGACTTACCTCTGTCATAAACAGAACGACTGTGATTCATCGTTAAAGCTGAGTAGCCGAAAATAAATAGCACAAGAACAATGACAACGCCAAATGAACGGAATGTCTTTGTCCTGGTCGTTGCTGCAGGTTTTGTCGATTGTCTTGAAGAATCACTGTCGTGTTCCATTGTAGAAAAAACCTTAACCAAGTAAGTTAAAATTTCATATTCTAGTTTATTTAATCATTTACTTAAAGATCTAATATAAGGTTAATTAGTTTGAAATTAGTTTGAAACTTGATATTTCGTCTCTTGTTTTGTGTGTGCATCTTTTGTTTATGATATTTATTCAGTACAGGACATTCGACAAATAGTTATGTAGAACGGACTCAATTATCGATAGAATTGATCTGTGAATATCTCATAATGTTATAAAAATTAAATAGAATTTTTATTTTTATATTTAAAAACCCTGTTTAAATAGTCACCCCCTGGAGACAAAAATTACAGTGACTTATTTGGGAATATAGAAATCAACCTTTTATGTTTTTCACAAAAAAAGGAAGTATTTATATCATATATTTAGCGGGCCCCCCCCCCCCCCCCCCCCCCCCCCCCCCCCCCCATTGGAAAAAGGATTGTTATTTTTTTTTCTTCAACCTATATAAAAAGATCCCTATCACCAATGCCTAAATTAATGTGTTACTTTTTAAAGTATTTTTAAAAAAAAATATTGTTGAAAAATTAAAGAATTAATTTTCTATGATTTGCAAAAAAATTTCCCCTTTCAAAAAGTTTTTTTAAATCAATTTCAAATAGTAGCTTGCTATTGGCTATCCGACCACTGCAGATCAAAATAAACAGGCACATCCGAGCCGTCTTATCATGGCCTGCACTGTTCGCTATTCAGTCAGTGGCTTGTTAAACCTTCCCTGAAAATTATGATGATATGAAAGATTGATTAATATATTTAAGATATTTAGTGTGGTAAGGGTTAAACATGTTATGTCGAGTAAAACTTATTGTCACCGAGAGACAAAAAGATAATTATATTAAAGGAATATGAAACAATAGAATAGTATAGCAAAAATCAGATATATAGTACACTATTATTTATCAATATATCAGTTACATTAACGTTTATATTTCAATTTTTTACCCGTAAAATAAAGCTTTAAAAAGACTCTTTGCATAAATATCGGAATGTTTTGACAATTAAATATCACAAATTCTTTAATAGAATATGTATTAATGTATATGTGTTTTAATAGCAATTATCTTGCTGTTTACGATTTAAGATGCTAAAAATTTCCCCAAAAATTAACAAATTCAACTATAGTATTTAAATAACTTACATAATAATGTACATTTTATTTTTCTTTCATAAAATATGTATAAAAATCTTACCTTTTAAAAAGAATCCAAATGACACCGAGTACATTTGCAAATGTAAAATAATGTGGCAGTCACTCAACAGTAACGAACGGGTTTTTTTTTAACTGATACACGAAGTACTGTATCGGGTGTTTACTACAAAGTATTCTGTAGATGATAAATGTAGATATACCTTTTATGCATTTTTGTATAGTATATAAGTATATATACTTGTGTACGTTCTGCTTATTGAACGTATAATTGCCAGATTGATCAAATCTTCAAATGAGTGCGTGCCAAATGCTTTATTTATCATAAATCAGTCAATGACAATAAGGATTCAAAATCTGATTTTAAAATAAATTCTATATCTCAAATGAATGAGTATTGATATATCTTTAAACTTGAATAATTAATCGTTTGTACGCTAGCAGAGCGAGCGATAGGTATACTCATCTGTTGGGTCAAACCGTTCAATGTTTCGTATGATTTACTCTAATTTCCCCTTTGACCCATTGTGGCTTCTTTAGCTTCATATTGGGCAAGATTGATACTCGTGTAGCGATGCTTTAAAGGATAAGGGTGTGCTGCTTTTCATTGGAAATATGGTATTGTACACCAAATCTTGCCATTTACTTGGGATTAGATTGGGATTAGATTGGCAAGTGGAATAGCTCTGATCTATAAGTTAACTTTAGCATTGACATAAATTAAAAATCTATAACTATAGAATACATGAATGTTATTTATTGTTCTGAGTATATTTGATAGAAAAATAAATGTTGGATAAGAATTGCTTACATGTGACATTTCAAAATAACGCGTCCATTTGTCATCTAAATGCCATTGCGATAGAATTGCAGCGTGCAATGTGTTTTGTAATCGGGTGGAAGCCGCGGAACGCTCAGAGGGTCCCGTGTAAAATTTCAATCTCCTATGCAGCGATCTCCCTTTATCAATACAGAGATCTCTGCCATCACAAACATTTGTATCAATAGTTTGATATTTTATATTTTTTAGGTTTTGAATTTATTTTTCATTATTTTGTACACTTTTGATAATTTTTTTATGTACTGTAACGAACGTAGGTACGAAAAGTTAAAAAAAAACAAAAAAACAAAACAACAAAAAACAGAAAGAGAAAATTACATTAGATTTTCTATGAAACTGTCGATATTTAAATTTCAATTTTGACGTTACGTCATTTGACTTTCATGATCACGTGACTTCTGCGATGACAGTGATTACAATCTGCCAAGGGAAGTTATCACTGTGAGGAGTTTGGTAAAATTTTAGTCAGGGTCAGCATGTGACAAAATTAGGTTGGTTTGTCGAACTTTTAAATGCCGACGTTTTCAAAAGTCGTTTTGGACAAAGTTTCCTCGGTTTAAACTAAACTTTGCCAAAAGAGGCACCCCGGCCCATCGTCAAATTGTACATTAGAATTGTACTGTGTACGTGTAAGCAGAAGTTATAAGAGTACACATGTGTGAAACATTTAAACATAAAGTAAAAATCCATATAAAACTTATCTATGACAGCAAAAAGTGAGCTAGAAACATTTTTATTTATATATAGTTATGTATTTAGCATCTAACATTGCCTAGTGGTTCCCTCATAATGTATAAAAAAATATTCTCTTGGGACCTTGAATAACCACGCAGCTTATGATCCCTTAGTAAATAAAATTAAATAGAAAAATATTATTTCGAACGTCCAAAGTCAGATATTTGCTTGTAGCTTCATGTATTTTGTTTCAGTACATATTTATGCATCAATACACCTGTTACCTTAATTGACCTTCCCTGTGACAGTTATTTTCCTTTATTTATTTTTTTTTTTAATATTTCTTTACTGGACTGGTGATTATTCCATAGATCATGAAAGCCATATTTAAAAAAGCGTGCAGTCCACTATATTTGTTGCTACCAAGGCAACCTGCCGGAAACCTAAGATGATCCGTGTCAGTATGCGCATAAGCAATTACTTTCAAATTAGTTTCAATAGATATGTCTACTTGTACAGATCTATAGCGCAAAAATGTTTACATGTGAAAAGTGATAACGGTTACGCCACGCTTTATTAATATATTGAGGATGTCTTACGTCATTTATTGGCTTGTTTTTGTTTCTACAAATTGTCATTGTTTCTTTAATTGTCCTACCTTGTGGTAGATTTTGAACATTAACTTACATTTGGAAAACATTTCTCTTTCATAAACGTTTTACAAAAGAAAAAACTGAGTAAAACTATTGGAAAGTTTATTCGTCTATAGGGCCGAACGTCAGTTCAGTATTAAAAAAACAACGCTTTTTTATTTATCAATTCATATTTTTCTTTCTTTACACATACTCAAATGAACAATTTGGTCTTATGTGAGCCAGGTGTTGATCATGACAAAAAAGACAATACTGTTAAAAGAATACAGGCGAAGTTTTACGCACAAGTAAATTGGCTGCGAAGGAATAGTCAGCTGTGTACTGCATACCTTCAGAAGAGCCGAATAAAAATGCTACCTAGACGAATGTCTCTTCCGATCTCCAGTTGTTGAAATTAAAGGGGAACCGTCACGACACGAAAATTCCATTACGTCCTGCTAGCAGTACTCGGTTTAAAATGTAACAGGACGGGTACGCTTTTGTCAATGTCGTAAAATGCCACCATATGTCTTATTTAGATATAGTGTTGATCGAAATGGTTTACCATAATGCCTTGAGCAGTTATTAATTATTTCTCTATTAAACGATATATAAACTTTTAATAAGCAATTGACCAACAATTAGACATCAAATTTGAACATAAATGTAGTTTATAAGACATTTAAGGCACCAGACCCTGTACAAAATCTAACCAAAATAAAACAGCAAATGTGTGACATCGCTTTACTATATAAAAGTATATTTGAGCCGCGTCACGACAACACCAACATAATGGGTTTGCGACCAGCATGGATCCAGACCAGCCTGCGCATCCGCGCAGTCTGATCAGGATCCATGCTGTTCGCTTACAAACCCTATAACAAGTAGAGAAAGTGATAGCGAACAGCATAGATCCTGATCAGACTGCGCGGATGCGCAGGCTGGTCTGGATCCATGCTGGTCGCAAACCCATTATGTTGGTTTTGTCATGGGACGGCTCATTTAAGTTTTTGAAACCAGAACTATGTCCGCATAGTACTTTCCAAATAATCTCAAAAGAAAAATACAAAACTTTTAAAGATAAATTTCTTTAAAACGAACTTGTTTCCTTGTTTGTAAAAGTCAACACATGGATATATTAAGAATATCAGATGTTTTATGATAGTGCAATGCAACAGCTCTCACACCGATGTGTCCAAATTTGACACAGTTCCCCTTTAGGTCGAGGCAATATGTTTTCCTGACCTAATCCTGTTATCCCTTTCTTTTAGCAAAAGGCATCCACAACAGCTATCAATTTGGGTCGGTTCATTGCTGCTGCTAACAATGTGTTTACGAATTTTGTATACGGAGATAAGAAAAATGTTTTGCAACAAAGCAAGACCTTTTAAGTTGGTCCTCACGTGCAAAGCTGATGTAGGTGAAGTACTTGTGTTTTTAGTGACGTCGTAAGTCATGCGCCTTATTCAAAATCATATAACACTCGACTGCTAGGTAGCCGAATGAAAGAATAGAACAGTATCGCAAAAATCAGATGATACACTTTTATCTATCAATAAATCAATTAAAATAATGATTATATATCAATTATTACCCGTAAAAAAATCGTTAAGAAGATTGTTTGTGCTAATATTAAAATGTTATGACAATTAAATATCACAAATCCATTAACGAAATCTCTATAA